GAGGTTGAACTAGCACCTTGAGGAGGCTACCTAGCACTCATTTCCAAGCAAGGAGTTTTGCCGGAGTTCTGCCGGAGTTTGCCGGTGTTCAACCGAGAAGGGTAGAACTTCTTAAAGCTCAATTGAGGTGAGGATGACCGACTATGTTGCTTATAATTAGTGAGTTAATTTCATAAGATTACCTAAGGTAATTAAATGTGATATTCATGGATTATTGATAATTAATAATGCCTAAATGAAAATACTATTGTTTATGAACAAATGAAGCATGATATACACATTTGGAAGAAATTGTGTATGATTATGTGATATGAAAATGATGGTATGATAAGTGGAATTAACTATGAAAATATTGTGATAAAATATACTTTTACTTCATGAATGGATAAAAGTGATATTTTGATATTGAGATTAAATTATATTTGGATTGGAAAATCAATTGAGATGAACAATATGACTATGAATTAGGAACTTGGTTGTTCCAAGATTAATTGACTAGTATTGAAATTTAGTCGGAATGCTAGTATGAAAAATGATGGAATTAATACAATTGTTTCAAATTGTGAACCTTAGGTAGTATTAAGAGATACCTTAAGGCTGGATTGTATAAGCTCTAAGTATATTAGGAGTAGGCCTTAAAGGCTACTCAATGTAATTGCTTCTAGGCATAGAATTGGCTTAGGAATCGAGTAACTTGACTAAGATCGAGGCTCTAGCATGACGTAATGACGACTAAGAGCGAGGTTCTAGCGTAACGTAGAATGACTAAGAGCGAGACTCTAGCACAAACGTAGATTGACTAAGAGCGAGGCTCTAGCCTAATGTAAAATGACTAAGAGCGAGGCTCTAGCATGACGTAGAACGACAAAGAGCGAGGCTCTAGTACGATGTAAGGCGACTAAGAGCGATGCTCTAGCACGGTACAACAATAAGATTTGAGAGAGGCTCCATTATGGCTGGTCAATGTAATTGGGAAATGACCTATGGCGGTAAAATAACTTACCGAAGGTTTATGACAATCGTGGCAAATAGTCACGAGGGAATTTGGATGGACGTCTCGAAATGAATATGGCCCACGGGCCGACCACTTGACTTTATATATAAAGTGAGTATATTTTAAAAGAGGGACAGAGGGTAATCGGGGGTTGTGGCCTATAGAGTAATATCACTTTATGTTGAGCGTCTTAGTAATTGAAACATTGATTATATTCAGTGTAGTTGTCATTGTACTTTTCAAATGCTTCAAAGTACTGACCCCGCCTTCACGGTGGAGGCCACCTCACAGTTTCAGGTAGAACTTGAAGGTTGCTACCATCGCCCTTTGCTTCGGGAAGATCAATGAGGGAAGACGTGGTTCGTGCTTCCTCTGTTCTATTTCAAAAACAATTATACTAATGCTCATGGATATTATTTTCTGAATAATTATTTGGGGGCTTGTATGCCTAAGTTTGCCAAGTGTGACATGAACACTTGTATTAAATGTTTCCGCTGCTTTAATGAATGTTTTACATTATGTTTGTTTATGGATGTACTATGTGTGAATGATATTCCAGACGCCTAGTATAGTATGGATGTTTTGGACTGCGGTTGACTATTCGTACTGTACGGTAGGTTGTTGATGTATCTGAGTGGGTCTGGGGCGTGACAGTACGTCCTTAGATCTCGAACGGCTCCCCAGTCTTAGCTAACTGGCAAGCCTTTTTCCTGGATCGTGGCGACGTACGTCCCCAACAGGACGCTAAGGCCCAGAGGACGAACGTCCCCATAGCCCCAGCCAACTGGGAAACCTTTCCCCGGGTCGTGGCGGCGTACGTCCCAGACAGGACCAGTCCCCATCATCAAGACTCAAGGGACGTACGTACCTAGGACCAGCCCACATCATCACTATTCACGCAAGAGTAGTAACAAAATTTACAACCTCGTAAATTCATTAACCATTTCATACGGTTCAATACATGATTTACATAAAGGTAAATATATTTGGGGATGATGTTACACTTGCATCGTCGCAACTCGTCGCTCCTTCTCCGACTTGCTTCGATCCCATTACTACTCACCTTCACCGACATCATAGTTGAGCTTCTATATCTTCTCATTCTTTTTTCTTCTCGTCCAACGATGTTGAGGGTGAACGGATGTCTAGAAGCCAGCGACTACGGTCTGCCAGACATGGAGGGTGATGTACTGTTTCGATTGTGGAACTAAGGTTTCTGTATTAGGAGGGTTGAGGATGAGACTGAGGATGGGGCTGAGAGGCTATGATGATTGAGGAGTGAGGACTCAAGAGAGCTTCCATTTGACAAGGGAGGGGGCGAGTGCAGCTGTGTAGGTTTGGACGAGTAGGAGGGGGCTAGGGAGGTGGCAGGGGAGCTGAGAAGTGGCAGGAGGTTAGGGAAGGTCCAAAGGGACCAGGTAGGTAGGTGGGTTGGGGGCTAGGGAGTCGAGTCGGGGGCAGGGCAGTGGTGACTAGCGGTGGTCACTATCAGACCCTGTAATAGTGCGATCGATAATTGATCGGTCGATTCGTGTAAATGTAAATGATTGTATCGCTGTAACTGAATGATTCTAGCAACCGTAACTGGTCAAGTTAGGTAAATGTAACTGATCGAGTCATGTAATTATAGCTGGTCAGGTCTATTAACTTTAATTGATCATATCGAGTAATTGTAACTAATTGGGTTTAATAACTGTAACTGGTCAAATTGAGTAAATATAACAGATCGAGTCGAGTAACTGTAACAGTTCGGATTAGGTCACTGGAAAGGGTCATGTGACGTCATCTAAACTCGTTATGACTAATTTAGTAATGGAGTGATGAATTCCCAAAAAATAGGTCACTGGAAATTTGTGAGCAACAGTAATCACTGGAGCGGTAGTAATTGGGACGGGTGTCACTGAAGTGGTAGTAATTGGGAGGGTGGTCACTGGAGTGGTATTAACTGGGGCGGTGGTCACTGAAGAAGTAGTAACTGAGACGATATCACTGGAGCGGAAATAGTAACTGAGACGATGGTCACTTCAGCGGTAGTAGTAACTGAGACGATCTCACTGGAGTGGAAATAGTAACTGAGACGATGATCACTTCAGCGGTAGTAGTAACTGAGACGATATCACTGGAGCGGAAATAGTAACTGAGATGATGGTCACTTCAACGGTAGTAGTAACTGAGACGATAATCAATGAAACAATAGTAACCGAGGTGTTGGTCACGACAACATTTGTTGCACAATTTTCATATCATAATATTTTTCTTGAGAAATAATAATAAATTAAAAAAAATTGTTATAGACTTATAGAGTGCATTGGTATGGATTGCAATTAATTATTAAATAATATTGGATTAACAAAAGCATTAATTGTGAGAGTGCATTGTTTGTTTGCTACGGTCTGGACTCTGAAGTGCATTGCTAGTTTGTTAGGGTCTGGAGTGCATCGTTAGTTTGTTACGGACTTAAGGTGCTGGTGCTAAAAAGTGGAAAGTTAGGAGGGCTAATTAGTAAAGAATATGTTTATTAGTCATATTTTTGGAAATTAGAAAATAAGGTCTCTTTTATGTCCATTGTCTATTGTTTAGTAATATTTAGGTCAAAACCTCATAACCTTTTAGGTTTCTACTACGTAACTTTCAAACAAACTAACCCTAATGACTAATGAATAACGTACTAATGTCGAGAAACAAGTCCATCTTGTTCCAAGAGCTTGCAAGTCACGATGACTGAGCCGCTTAGTAGCTGACGAGTGAATAGGGATACACTTACGTGACGAGTGTATCTACATGAGGATTCCACGAGTCGGGGCACACAACTTTGTCCGAAAGTCTTGTTCAAATATTTTTTAAATTTATAAAAATGACTAAATAAACAATATCATATTAGGAATAAATGATTTTATATTCATGTTGTTTGAATAATTTTATTTAGGGAAAAGGGGCATATAAGGCCACGTACTAACCAAAAAAGGTCAAATAAGGCCTTATTTATGAGGCTCTATCCGGATTTCGCCATTTGGGGTGGTTCTCGGTGGAATTTTTTGATTATTTTTTTGACCATCTTATTCATTACGTCTAGTTTACTCATACCAAATTTCAGATAAAAATTTAATCGAGAAGGCATTCAAATGAATTCTTGAAGATAACTGCGCTTTTAACTGCGCAATTATCTTCAAGAATTCATTTGAATGGCTTCCCGATTGAAGTTTTAGCTTAAATTTGGTATGAGTAAACTAGACTTACTGAATAAGATGCTAAAAAAAATTCATCAAAAAATTCCACCGAGAACCAACCCAAATGGCGAAGGTCGGACAGAGTCTCATAAATAAGGCCTTATTTGACCTTTTTTTGTTAGTACGTGGCCTTATCTGCCCCTTTTCCCTTTTATTTATTTTTGTTGGAGCTGAGATCACTATTGATTTAATTATATCTATATTGTTCAAGTTATTTTAGGAGAATGTGTTATTTTTTAATACGTGACATGTTGAATTGTTTTAATATACTAATACTCCGTAATAAATAGTGTTCAATATTGAATATGACATCAATAGATTATTAATTTTATTTTGTAACATTTTAATAATGGAATAAATATGTCACTAGTAACACCAATTTAGTATTTTTTTTACTCCAAGGGGGTCTGGGGGAGGGGGGCTGGAGGGCATGGAGTAATCATGAGTGAAACTCACTTCATTGAGTTTCAAACTTTTGCGTGTCTAGCTTGTTTCGAACTCGAGACCTCCCATTAGGCACAGTAACCTCACAAGTTCCACCAGCTGGACTGGAATGCTTGGATACAACATCGATTTAGTATATTTCGTTAATCTATGATAATTTGTCGTATCAGAGACATGCATGATAATTACCGTACTATTACCGAACCGAAAGTTTTGATTCGATATTGTATTATTACCGATATTGTACTATTACCGATATTGTACTTACCAAAAGTTTTGATAAGTTAAAAGTAATGAAGAAATTATTTGGCGTACTATACAGAAAGCAGTTTGCGGCACTTCATGCACCGCAGAAAATATACCCTTGATAAGAGCCTACATCTATTGTGATGCGCCTCGGCCTGTGTTTGAAAATTGAATCACTCCCCCTTCTCCCTCCTCGCTTTATTTCGAAGTCTCATGATATTTCCAGTAGTATTTTGGTAATAAGTTCGAACCCAGCTTCTTCTTCTCCTGGCCATGGAAGCCATACTCGTAGATTGTGTCCAAAACAGTTTGCGGCACTTCATGCACCGCAACGCCATTTTTATGTGCGAACGACTCTGCGCCGAAGCCCCCTCAGAGGTAGGCGCAGTCATGGCGCTCAAATTATGTATCGGCTATAACTTCCGTATTTAGTAAAAGTGTTGATTTGATAATATTTCCCAATCTTGAATGTACACATTCATCGGAAACAATTTAGGGTTCTCCGATCATACACTTTTTATTTATTTATAATTGTATCCAGTTGATTCCTTGTATAAAAAATTGGACTGCTTTGTGGTTTAATCCGAATGATGGAAATTTAATTTGGCATTCATGTTTAGTTTTGAAGTTTGTGTAGCTGGATTACGTAATGTACTCAAAGGCTGTTAGCTGGATTACTTAATGTACTCAAAGATCGTTAGCTGGAGCTGAAAATCCGAAGCTTCGATCGTTTAATATGCTAGCAGTTAGATGGTATATTGCATTTAGTTAACAATGCTTGAAAGTTAATTGACAATGTCAATAATAAGATTATTTTTAGTAAATAAAATTTACATATTTAGACTCTACATTAAAAGATTATTTCCATCATTTGCAATGGAGCAAAAGATTCACTATTTTTTGGCTTGAGAATATGATGGAATAAAGCAAAATGGTTCACTAAACTGTCTGCGCTTCTTTATTGTGAAGCAACTGTCAGTCCATGTATTTTGCGACGCGATTTTCACTATGGGTCATTCGGAAACAGTTTCTCCATGCTTTAGTAAAGCGGTAAGACTGTGTACATCCGACCCCCTTACTCTATCGTAGATGGGAGCCTTTGCGGCATTGGGGTAATGATGATGATGATGAAAAGAAAAAATCAAATTTCATAAAAGTTGGATATATAACGTAAAAGATCAAGAACAATGTATGTTGACCGGAGAATAGTGGACAAGAACCTTTAAGTGAGACGGAGGTAGTACTAATATCCCATCACTGAGTTAAGGCGTGTAGCATGCGAAGAACTACTGGGCAAGAAACTGAAGTGAGAGAAGATAGAATTGCCGGATAATTTCTAAGAGTGGACATGATTAATACGGGAGATTTTATGGAGCCCTATATGACTCCACTATGGAGTCATGTAGCACATGTGGCATCATCACAATCATTCATTTATGAAGTAGGGTCCTCTACTATAATTCTAGTATAGAAATGAATGGTTGTTATGATGCCACATGGGCTACATGATTCCATAGTGGAGTCATATAGGGCCCCATAAAATTGTTGTGATTAATACATAATAAAGAAATTAAAGTGTATCATAATTTCTTACCTAGTCTCAGGTACACTGTGCTATCTTTTGAGAACACAGGAATAGTTCAGAGGAAAGTAAAAACAAGGGTGAGCATTTAAAAGTTCAATCTATTTGAGTAATGTAAGCTGATTACTCTTTTTTCAGCGGCCTCTCCATTTACTGATGATCCATGGTCTGTAATTTTTAATAAATACGGAGTATCATTTAGCTATGTTCATAACATATATTGAACTTGTACTTGCTTCTAGGACATCCTTACATTTTCTGTAACATGATTTTCCAAATGCAGATAAATATGCAGTTGCTAGCTGCTTGCTACTTGCAGAATAATCAAGCCTATGCTGCATACCACATCCTCAAAGGTATTTAGATCAAATTCTTGTTGATATCGGAACTATATCCGTTTGTTTCATTTGTGATTTAAAGTATTCGAAGCTAAAAAAGGTGCTTATTTTTCTTTTTCTTAAAATTGTTGCATGAAGGAACACACATGGCTCAATCGCGCTACTTATTTGCACTGTCATGCTTTCAGATGGACCTTCTTAACGAAGCAGAAATGGCTTTATCCCATACTGATGATCCAAATTCAGAGGTACAACTTTAATCCGCGCAGTATCATTAATTCATTGTATTGTTTGCAGAATCATTTACATAATGGTAGAAGTTCATGTTTGCTTTTTCTCTTACTGAGGAGGAATGGCTCATGTTTAACTGTTTAGGCACAGGTTCCAAATGGTGCTGCTGGTCATTATCTTCTTGGGCTAATTTACAGGTTCAACCTACTTTTACGTTGTCCTCCAATTAATTAATTGCTGTATTTGACAATAATTTTAAATTTTTAACTTCTTCATGATGAAAACAAATTGGCTGCCTTTTAAAGAAATCAACATCACTTCGAGCACGTCGTGTTATTATTTGTCATGCGGCATGCACCCACAACTCTGATACTTGTTGTCTTGTTGCTACGCATGGATTTGCAAGTAGCTCCTTTCTGACTGTAGTTATATTTTATATTTTATGACCTCATAGTCTCAAGCAGAACATTTTTTTTGTTTGCATGACTGAATTGGTTGAAGTAGTATATTCTCAGCTTCTTTGTAAAATAAGAGGAGCTGGAGGAGCATAATATTACTTGGTTTAAAACTTCGCATTATTCAGAACACATTCTCTGTAATACAAAGATCTGTGTGGCACCCTTATTTCCACCAATGTTGAACTCGAAATGCTAGCCTCTTTCCTCCACCTCCCAAAATGTTCTGGTGTCTCAGATTGCTGTCAGTTTGAGTTTCTGATCTGTGGCACATTTTCTTTAGTTCCTATCTCCTTTTGCAGCTCTTGTTTGTGACAAATATGAAATCTTCTTGACTTCTTGAGTACTTGAGATGCTCAAGTACCCTTTTGTGAATTGTTCAAATATCCATGTATTGTCAATTTGTGATAGATACTACGTTGAATACAAATATTAATATGAATATGAATAGTGTCTGCCTGAATAGTTTTCCTTTTCCATGGATTATTTATACCTCCATGCTTCTAATAGTAAGGGAGAATAATTGCAGGTATACAGACAGAAAAAAGAGTGCCATTCACCATTTCAATCAGGCCCTGTCAATGGATCCACTGCTATGGGCTGCCTATGAGGAACTGTGTATACTAGGTCTGCGAGCGCTGTATATATACATTATTTTAAAGTGTTCCTTAGACAAACTCTAGCTGTATTACAAGTTTAGTAAAAACTATCAGTTTTCAGCATTCAGTAGTTGGTGATGTGGGAACTCAGAAGCAGTGCATTGTGCTTGGATAAATTGAATCCTAGGTGCATCTTATGTTTGCTCCAACTATGATGGTTGGTCTTGAATTGGTACAGTAAGGATAATGTGGCAGTGCTTGCTTGTTGTGGGTTATAAATGGTGTGATGATTATTTGAAGTAGCTTCCCTTCACCCCTTAGCTGGCTCTTCTGGTAGCCGCAGCAACATGTTATTGAATTTGTTTCACGCGAACTCAGTTTTGTGCTCTATTCATCACCCCCTCTCTGAATCCACCCCTCTCTCCCTCCTCACACGTGAACTACTTTTATTTGTTAAGACTTAGTAAACTAATTATTGCTCTCTTGACTAGTTCTATTTGTCATATGGTTATTTGGTGAAATTGGTATTGTAATTTCATAGCTTATGGTCAATCCTTTACATTTTCAACAATGAGTGGAACCGTATGTTTTTAACAAAATGAACTGTTGTCATAACTTTTCCACGCAAAGCATTAGGGGGTTCTGTTTCACCTACCTTTAACGTTATCCTACTGAGTTGGAAGTAAGTTTACTGTCTTATTTTAGAATACTTTCCTGATTGAGGAATGTCATCAGCATCATTATCACTATTTAGTTATATCATATATCTTTTTATCAATCATTGGTTCCACTTATTAGTTATCATGCATGAAATATTCCAGGCGCTGCTGAAGAGGCAGCTTCAGTGTTTGATGAAGAAGCATCTCTTCGTGTTCAAAAGCAACACATACTTCATGGGAGTCAATTTCAATCTCTATCAGCATCTATTGAAGATCATACTGTATTTTCTAACAAAAAAAATTACTCTGAAGATGGAAGTCCAAGACAGTTGCAACATGTGCATAGCAACAACTTATGCGAATTTAATGGAAATTATAACAGAGCAGTAGTTGGTGGAGTTACAAATCAGACTCTTGGTGGCAGCTCTGCTAATACAGCATTCTGTAATACTCCTTCGCCAATGGTTTCACAGGTATTGTGATGAACCCCCTTTTAAATTTTAATGCAATCAATCATATAAAGACACGAAGCTCTCAATTTTATATTCATATTAGCTATATATTCCGTATATGTATTTCTGTGTTTAGCATTTTTTTTCAATGTTTTCCAGATATCAGGTATAATTCCTCCCCCTCTCTGCAGAAATGCACCACAAAACGGGGTTCTCCCATCCGCACCGGGTGGTCACAACTCTTCGCGATCAACTGTGAACCATATTGTTTATCCCACTCGGCCCCGCAGAAAGTTTGTTGATGAGGGGAAGTTGAGAAAGGTTATAAAATGGGCTGCAAATTTCCTCTCTGTGCATATATTTTGTTAACAACATATTTCAGTGAAAATTTATGTGAAAAGTCTAATGAAAAATAATCTAATATCAGACAGAAACACTAAGGAGGTGTTTAGTTTGATGCTAAAGTCACAGTTAAGTTAGGTTAGTAAGACGGGTGAAGTAAACACGCAGGCCGCTTAAAAAGTTGCTTACTAATCGAAAGAGGTGCTTAAAATGCTGCTTACTAAGATACCACCCTCCATGTATTAATTAAACGACACTTTAAGCTTTTTCAGTTTCCGAATTTACCCTTACCCTCCCTTACCCCTCTACCTGCTATAGAAGAGTCTAGACAAAGAAAAGTCTAGACATCAGTTACACAATTAATTAGAGTTGTCAGTTACAAAATATTTGTATTTAATATTATAATTAGTAACCTACCTTATTGATCCCTAGAATATTGTATAAATAGCAATTCATCTCATGGAATGAATCAAGTTTTCTAGTCTCAATTCCTTCTTAGTCTAAATTCCAATATGGTATCAGAGCCTCTAAAGGCCCAAACGGCCTATTCTCTTCACCGAACTATCCTCCCAGCATCACTTTTCTCTGCCCACCTCTGCCCATGGCTAATGAAGATAACATAGACAAAAATCCAGAAGACGTGAATGATAACTCAACATCATCTCTCTCAGCCAGTAATCCCCTAACCCCGGATGGCCGTATTATGCTCAGCCCTAACCAATTCCCAGAAAAACTAGATGGATCAAATTACCTTGTATGGAGAGACCAAGTAATGGACCTTCTGTTTGGGTCTCATCTGGATCAGTATATTGATGAAAAAATTGGTCCTCCTCCAGAAAGTGAAGCTGCCAACCTTCTGCGATGGAAGAGACAGGATCGTCTGGTGCGGCACGCTCTTGTATGCTCTCTCAGTTCGCAAACCGCTGGTTGGGTCTGCAAAGACCTCCGCCTCCATCTGGAAAACACTGGAACGCCTATACGGGACCCGGTCAACTTCCAAAATTCAAAGTTTGAAAGACCAATTCCGCCATGCTAAACAGGGGTCACAACCTGTAGCAGAATATCTTCATCACCTTCGCAGTTCGCACCCTCGCGGATGAACTGGCCATGGCCGACTGACCTGTTGACGATGAAGACTTTGCCATTCAAGCCTGGGAGGGTCTTCGTCCCGAGTTTGAATCCGTGGAGAACTCCATCTGCCCAGATGAAACTAACTTTGAAGAAGTCCACTCCTTACTGATCAGATTCGAAGACAAGTTGCGAAGGAGGGAGCTCTTGAGTTCCGCCGCTGTTGTTACTGTGAACGTAGCGACCGTCGAAAGAAAAAAGGAAGAAGACAGTTCAGTTGCAATGACGGTTCACAGGAGTCCAGACTAGAATGTGTCTATATTAGACCCAGGTCCATCAGCCCAGTTTCAGAATCTACCCAACAAGCCCAATACTCGCTATTTTTTTTTTTTCAAAAATCAGAATCGAGGCCCATGTCCCAGCAACTTCTACAATTCAAATCGACGTGGAAATAGTAATCCCGAGGGCAGGCGTACTAATTTCTGGGGAAATACCACTCCGGGTGCTGTTATATGTCAAATTTGTGGCAAACCGAACCATTTTGCTATCAACTGTTGGCATAGATTTGAACAACAAAATTATCCCCCCAGGCCAATACTGCCACGATCAGGAGAAACAGATGGTTACTAGACTCGGGAGCAACCAATCATGTCACCAATAATTTAAGCAATCTTACCATGGCATCCGATTATACTGGCACAGACTCCCTCATTATTGCTAACGGTAAAAGTCTTGAAATTGCACAAGTTAGGAATATGACCCTCCATTTTCTCTCCTTACCTAATACTCTTTTTGTTGCTTCTATTCATACTAATTTAATTTCAGTTGCCAAATTATGTCGTGACAATGATGTACTAATCGAGTTCCACCCTTCTTTTTGTTTTGTCAAGGACCGGAAAACAGGAGCAATTTTGTTACGGGGTATGAATAAAAGTGACGTCTACAGCTTGCCTGATGTTCCTGTTCCCTCATCACCATGTGTCAACGTTACTACAAAATTTTCTCTAAATAAATGGAATTGTTGTTTAGGACATCCTGCCCTTCCTATCACTCAAAAAATTATTTCCTCATTAGGTATTTCCTTTAAAGATGTTAGTAAGGATTTGTCCTTGTGCACTTCATGCGCAAGTAATAAAAGCCACAAGTTACCTTTTGCGAAATCTTCCCTTTCAAGTTCGGATCCCCTTAATACAGATGTTTGGGGTCCTTCACACATTAATTATGTGGATGGTTTTCGTTATTATGTTTTTATTGTTGATCACTACACAAAATACATGTGGTTTTACACTATCACCCGCAAGTCTGAGGTAACATCAAATTTTCAACTATTTAAGAAGATCGTAGAAAACTTTTTTCAAAAATCTATTAAAATGGTTTATTGAGATGGAGGGGTGAATACATATCCCTAGGAAGATTTCTGGCCTCTTGTGGTATTACTCACTTACTGACTCCTCCATATACCTCTGAGCATAACGGCTTCGCTGAACGCCGACATCGTCGTATTGTAGAAACAGGGATCACTTTACTTCACCACTCCTCTATGCCATTAAAATATTGGTCATACACCTTTTTAACTGCTGTATATCTAATTAATAGGCAACCAACAACATCTCTAGGTTTTTGTACTCTCTATGAAAAACTTTTTCAAAAACCTCCCAATTACACAAAACTTGCTATTTTCGGATGTCAATGTTTTCCATTGCTCCGTCCTTATGCAGCTCATAAATTGGAACCACGGTCCAGACCTTGTATTTTCCTTGGGTATTGCGATCAACAAAGCACTTATCGCTGTCTTGATCCTACTACCAATCACATCTCCATTAGTCAACATGTGGTGTTCAATGAGTCTGTCTTCCCTTTATCTAACAATCCAACACCCGTTAAAGATTTGTCCTCCGAAATTGACCGTTGGCTTTAGCCTCCTATCTCTTATCTTCTTATCTCAGGTACATCACTAGCAAAGGCGTCTCCTACTAGTCATACCCTAACGACACAAGACTCTCATGGGTTAGAAGTGATGAGTGTCACAAATACTTAGCTTTATTATTATTATTATTATTATTATTATTATTATTATTATTATTATTATTATTATTATTATTATTATTATTATTATTATTATTATTATTATTATTATTATTATTATTATTATTATTATTATTATTATTATTATTATTATTATTATTATTATTATTATTATTATTATTATTATTATTATTATTATTATTATTATTATTATTATTATTATTATTATTATTATTATTATTATTATTATTATTATTATTATTATTATTATTATTATTATTATTATTATTATTATTATTATTATTATTATTATTATTATTATTATTATTATTATTATTATTATTATTATTATTATTATTATTATTATTATTATTATTATTATTATTATTATTATTATTATTATCGTCGTCGTCGTCGTCGTCATCGTTCTCATCGTTCTTATTGTCGTTATTATTGTTGTTGTTGTTATTATTATTATTATAATTATTGTTATTATTATTATTATTATTATTTGACCCGCTTCTAACCCACCGGTCCTCATCACTTATCACCGCCGGCCCAAACAAAATCCAACTGCCCCATCCTTACCTAATGCACCCAACACCACCCCCTTAACCATCACTCCCACTACAAATAATCCCATATCTACCTTGGGTCACCATCATGATCCAAAAGCCCTCCACTCAAACGTACCCACCTCATGACCCTTCGTCCCCGTAAACAAGCTAATGTTGTCATTCACTCACCATTACCTCATCATATTATTCTTACTTGTGCTTCTCAAGCTTTACAGGTACCTGAATGGAGGAAGGCTATGTTTGTGGAATTTGACGCCTTGGTTCAACAAGGGACATGAGAACTTGTACCCGCTCATCCTGGTCAGAACATTGTTGGCTTCAAATGGGTTTATACTGTGAAATATAAGCCTGATGGTTCCTTGGATCGTTTCAAAGCTCGATTGGTGGCTAAGGGCTTTCATCAGCGCCCAGGGATTGATTACTCTGAGACCTTTAGCCCAGTCATCAAGGCAGTTACTATTCGGGTTGTTTTGACCAATGCCCTTTCTCATGGCTGGCACATAAACCAACTAGATGTCAACAATGCATTTCTACACGGGGCTCTTCAAGAGGAGGTTTACATGAAACAACCCCCTTGTTTCAATGATGGCTCTGGAAGAGTGTGTCGTCTTAGGAAATACATCTATGGTCTCAAGCAAGCGCCTCAAGTGTGGTACCAATCTCTCAGTGGATTTCTATTATCCCTTGGTTTTCATCGATCAATCTCTGATGCTAGCCTCTTCATCTTTTCTTCTCATCCCTCTTATTTCTATGTGTTGGTATATGTGGATGATATTATTGTCACGGGCTCTACACCAGACTTGATTCATCGAACTATTGACTTGTTAGCACAAAAATTCTCCATCAAGGATTTAGGGTCGTTGCATTACTTTTTGGGTATACAGGTCACCCCTACATCAGATGGACTCTTTCTTGATCAACACAAGTACATTACAGATTTATTACAGGTGTTGATCATGCACGAGGCTAATCCAGTATCCACACCCTTAGCCTCATCGGCTTCCTTGACTTTGTTTTATAGTTCGGGTTCTTGTGATTCCACCCTCTATCATTAAATTATTGGATCGCTTCAGTATTTAAGCCTCACCCGACCTGATACTGCCTTTGCCATCAAGAAGCTAGCCCAGTTTATGCACAAACCCACGGTGAATTATTGGCAGCTCATGAAACGTCTCTTGCGATATCTTCAAGGAACAACCTCTCATGGTTTATATCTCCGTCGGAGTTCTCACCTTTCATTGTGTGCTTATGCTGATGCAAACTGGGCGGGAAATCTAGTTGACCGATCCTCTACCGGTGTCTATGCCATTTTTCTCGGAGAATCACTTATTTCATGGAAGTCCTCCAAGCAACGCACAATTGCCAAATCCTCTACCAAAACAGAGTATCGGGCCCTATCCACTGCTGCATCTGAAACTCTTTGGATTGAGTCACTTCTTCATGAGCTTCGACATTCCTCTTCTCCTCCTCCAGTTCTTCTATGTGATAATAAGGGCGCTACCACCTCTTTCGCCAATCCGGTATTCCATTCCCGAATGAAACATGTTGCCGTTGATTTCCATTTTGTCCGTCAACGTGTGTAATGTGGCCTTCTTCGAGTCCTTCATATCCCCTCTCATGAGCAACTAGTTGACATTCTCACCAAGCCACTTTCACGGCAGCGATTTATTTTTCTACGTGACAGGCTCAGGATTCTTAGCACCGATAGAATACCTAGCTTGCGGGGGCATATAGAATAGTCTAGACAAAGAAAAGTCTAGACATCAGTTACACAATTAATTAGAGTTTCATTTACAAAATATTTGTATGTAATATTATAACTAGTAACCTACCTTATTGATCCCTAGAATATTGTATAAATAGCAATTCATCTCATGGAATGAATCGAGTTTTCCAGTCTCAATTCCTTCTTAGTCTGAATTCCATTACCTGCTACCCCTACCCTACCCACCTTACACTGACCCCACCCCGATCCCGAATCAACCCCAACTTTAACCCATTCCTACCTTACCCCTTACCCACCCCACTCGTACCTACCCTTTACCCTACCTTGACCCTACCCCTTTACCTCCTACCACCTGCCCCTACCTCGACCCCACTTGACCTCGACCCCCCAATCCACCCCCTACCCTTATATACTTATGTTCATGAATGTTTGTATGTACTTGTGTTCATGAATGATTGTATGTACTTGTATACCCGACCCCCCGACCCCCACATATTATATTATATACTTGTGTTCATGAATGTTTGTGTGTCTATATATGTATAGGGTTATTTTAGACATTTAAATGTTAAACGGTGTTTTAAATCCTTTGAAGTAAACATGAGCTTACCACACTGCTTATTTTATGCGTCTCTTATTAACGTCCAAAAGCTTGAAGCCCAACCCCAAGACCCCCCGACCCGACAAGATGGTGGGGAGGTTAATCACGGTGACTCAGTCAGGAAAGCGGCAGTAGACCTTTACCTGTGCGCACCAGAGGGCCAGCCTTATTTCAGGTTCTGAAAACCCCCTTATGGCCGCTGCGGGATTCGAACCTTGGTCTACGTCCATTTTTTCCCACCGATTGACCAAATGAGCTACCCGTGCGGGTAACGCCGCTTATTAACGCGAGTCTTAATAAGCGCCGTTCAGTAACCCGTGAAGTAAACGTGTCCTAAGGAGGTTTCTACATTACCCCCTTTGGAAACAAAAAGTCTCAATCCATCCTTGCACATATTGTTCACCCTAGTCCTCTTTTGCAATAAAGTTGATCACCTTCCATGCTTTTATTGTAGATGCTTTTGATTTTAATAGTCTGACATGAAATGAACTATAGTATTCTCATCATAAGTCATAACAAAAGTGCAAAATGGTGATACAATGTATAAGTGCAAATGGATGGGCATTTTAAAATTTGGTACCTTGATGTGCATATGCGTGACTATTTTTGTGGTAGCAAACTATTGCTGGCTTTAAAATTGATTGTAAAAGGTGAGACACTGAGACCACAATCCGATGATCTATTCTACCTTGCTCCTTAACGTGTACAGAATCTGTAGATAATGAAAGCAAAATATTTGTACGTGAGTTCTTAAATTTATTGTTTTCTTTCATTTTTTCTCCTTTTTCAAGTTGTGCCTGATATGCTGATCTCTGATTTGTGCAGATATCAGGGAGGCTATTTTCTGATTCTGGCCCTCGACAAAGACTCGGTGGAGAATCAGTGAGCAACACTAGCTCAACTGCATCTACAGGATCTGGAAATGGATTAAACCATTCATCCAAATTCCTTGGTAGCTCTAAGCTGGGCGCAATGACATTACGTTCCATGACAACTAGAAAGGCACAATCATGGGCTAGTGAAAACTTCGATGAAGGTACAATGATGGGCTACTTCAAGGGTTTAAGCATTTTTTCTCACTATAAAATTTTCATGATTTTTTGGTTTTATATGCCCTTTTCATTATATTGACTAATTCACTTAAGATGATTAAATTTAATTTGCATAAAACAAAGTACAATCTTGTGATTGGAATATCATCTGACATAAAGTACCACTTTCAATTTGTTTTTTTAAATTTGAGTACCTTCTGTTAACTAAATTTCCAGGAATTTATTGTCTGCTAATGGATTGCATGAATTATAGCATGATCAATTGAACACATTGTAGAAAATTAATTGACTACAGATTGATTATCATTTAAGTGAAAATTAGTGTACTTAGCTGGAGTTAAGGATTTAAGGTGCATATAATGATGTTGGTGGTTATGATGATAAAATGAAGCGTAATGTATACACATCTTCAAATCCCTTAGGATGTACTTTTGGACTATTGGTCCTTAATTTTACCATAGCCTTGTTGTATTTTGGACTTTTGGTCCCTAATTGTCTAATAGTCTCCTTAGCATAGTTTCTTTGTCATAAAAAACCAGTATGCCTTGACGCATTTTCAATATGGTGTTTTAAAAAAATCAGAGCTCAGGATTCCTTTTGTAATTTATGGGAAATTTAATAACCGTAACGAAAAAACTCAGGGTGTGGTTGAGTGAATAACCTTCTTGCTATCTGCAACACTCTTCCCAGTAGCAAGAGGGAACTACTTGTGGCATTGAATTTTTTGGTCTTTAGGTTTTGGTGCCTTGATTCCCTTGAATAAGCTGGCCGTTTGATCTTTATATTGAAAGCCAATTAAGAAATATCTGCTAAGAACAAAATGCCTGGCAATGACTTGGCCTATATGTATAAAAAATATGCCTCACAATGGACGCACTTGCAGCTTTTGCATTGTCCCCTCTTCCACAATGGATATGCAATAATGAAAAAGAAAAGGAAAAGGCTGTAATCCATATTATGCTGCTGCTTGTGTACCCTTCCAATGATGCTCTTTGCATTCAGAAGACTAAATTATCACAGTTCTTTCTCTGCAGTTCGGGATGTCTGCGATGATTCACGGTTTAATGTCCCTACTATGTCAGCGTCTTTAGATAGTACAACTATTGAACATGAAGGGCCTAGTAAGTGTCCAGGTATTAACACGGCCGGCACAGATCTCCTATCTGGGGCCTTAGAAATATTGGACCTTTTGCGGACTCTTGGGGAAGGCTTTCGACTTTCATGTCTGTATAGATGCCGGGTAAATGACTTTTTTTGTGTATACACAGAATTTTGTTTCCCCCCCTATCCTCTTTGGTTGATTTTCTTACTGCTGAAAATCTTGATAATTCAGGATGCCTTGGATATGTATAACAAACTTCCACACAAACATTATAACTCTGGATGGGTGCTTTCCCAAGTGAGTTTTTAAGTTAACTTTTCAATTTTTTACCTTTGCAATCAATGCTTTTGTTTTAATGCTTGCAATGAAGGTGAACCAAATTTACTGTTTTTTGTTAAAATCATATGGTCCATTCCATCAATAAGTTTTTTTTTGAAAGATGAATTATAACAACAACTAAGGCTTCGGGAATCACTTAAATGCTTTAATAGGGTTGAATGTTAGTTCTTTGCCAATAATTATGAATACGATGTCGCTAATATATTCTCAACTCCGGTTAAGGCAGCGAGAGCGTGGTTTTCGTTATGTGTAAGTCCCGTTACGGCTTACATTCATCTACCGAACACCCCGTTGAATATCAAGACATCACACCCGTATCATATAATACCGGATATATTTCTATTCTCGATAATATATATGTTTATCCTTTAATGTTCATAGTTTAGACTTCAACGTTAATTGCAAGTATAAACTAAATTTAACATACTTCTATGTTGTACACCATAGTCATAAACAATCAATATATAAAGGATAAATCACAATTTATTGGTTTAGAACTTTTATCAAATGCCTAATGGGCATAGAAGTTCATCCCTAGCCTTAGCTAAGAATTTAGCCTCTAATGCTCATATTAATTACAAACAATAATGAAATGTAATGGAACATGAATTTACAAAGGAAATAATACCTAAACACCAATGATTTCGGAGGATGAATTTTCCTTCTCAAGAACTTGAAGAATAAGAACAAAATATAAAACTAGGAATTAAAGTATGGAATGGAATGTCATTGCTTGATGAATTGAGGGCTTTATATAGGCTAAAGAATGACATCTTTTAGTCTATTCGAACCCAACAATGAGGTATGGAAGCAATATTTGATTAGCATTGAGGAATATGAGGTTTTCCCATCAAGAATCAGCTTGCACGATGTTGTGTTTTAGCAGAAGATCGACCCAACCAGCGCCGGTTCTAGCCTGACCGGCGCCGGTTACCTAATGATTTCGCGAACACATGATCCAACCGGCGCCGGTTGGGGTATGTCCGGCGCCGGTTACTACGGCCAAAACATGCACTTTATTTAGTTCTTCTTTCCGTGCCTGCGATTTATCCAGAAGTGCCGGTTTTCGATCCCTTTTGACTTTTGACACCGTTTTTGTCGTTTCATGCCATATTCCACACTTTTGCTCATTTTGGAATATTTACATGTTTTTGCTCTCCATTTGTGTACAGATAAATATAATTACCTATGCAAAACATAAGTAATTATTGTGCTTATCATGATGGTATACATGATTAACCATTCATTTATTTGCATCTGCTCATAAACTCTTTAAGCTCTAAACTTCAGACCTTCTGTTGATGTTTTGATATCTTTTGGTTTTGATTAATTCAAACATCAGATTGGGAAAACATACTTTGAAATGGTTGATTATCTAGAAGCAGATCGTGCATTCAGTCTTGCCCGTTTAACCTCACCTTACAGTTTAGAGGGACTGGACATATATTCGACAGTGTTATATGTGAGTTCAATCACTTCAACTTCTGAATGCTATATGCGCCACATCTTGTACTATTGTAATGACAGTTTTCGTTTTATTGCGTGTCATACAGTTGGTAATTTACTGTTTAGTTTCAACTATGAAATCTCACTGATTTTTTACAAGATTTTGTCATTGAAAATTTTCCATTATTCCATGAGGAACACCTTGAAAATTTATTCAGCATTAACCTGTTTTATTTATTTGATCTTTTGAAGCAGTATCTTGTTATCCAGTTACTGACAAAGAATCTTTAAACCATATGAAAGAAAGCTTATATATGTTTTGAATATCATTGCTTTCTGTTTTTTCTTTTTTTTGGATGAAAGCAATGATATCCAGTTATCATTGCTTTCTGTTTTTTCTGAGGATATGTTTCACACATTTCAGCATTTGAAGGAGGATATGAAGTTAAGTTACTTGGCGCAGGAACTGGTATCAACTGATAAATTAGCTCCTCAATCATGGTAATATTTCTGAACTTGCCAAGTGGCATTCAGTAGATTAAACTTTGACTTTACTAATGCATATTGCTGTGTTGGTTTCGGTCTCCATCTTTTCTGAGCAAAACTAGAGCTGCTGTTTTTTATCTCAAGACTGAGGATGCATGCATTTACATTGTGCCATTGTACATGGTTGCAATTGCCCATAAACAATCTGAACATATTTAATCGTTTGTGTCTGCCTCTCACTGCTACTGCATGGAATATGTTTCGGATTCATATCTGCATGTCCCACTTTCTTGCAATATTCTTTAATTAAAAATAGGATGGTGTTTTTAAAGCCAAACTGATCTACTAGTGGATATACTTATGCTGCAGGTGTGCAATGGGAAATTGTTACAGTTCACAGAAGGACCACGAAACTGCTCTTAAAAATTTGCAACGAGCTGTACAACTAAATTCCAGATTCGCATATGCTCACACTCTTTGTGGTCATGAGTATGCCTTACCATTTTCCCTTCATTTTATTTCTTTGCTCTGATGTTACCTTATGACATTACATTCAATGATTCGATCAGAACGTAGTCTGTTACCCATTGGTTGTTCAAAACAGGGAAGGGGAGTAGAAGAGTTTCGAAAATATATTATTTCCGATTTGGTGCAGGCAATAAGAATTAGACATTGAGATATTCAGAAAAATACGTAGTGATACTATATCATTATATTTGATGTGATTTATGTTGTAACTAGAAAAATAGTCATTGAAAGGTCTAATAACAACAATGCACAATTTAAATATTAAGTACGGGGGGGGGGGGGGGGGGGGGGGGATCAACTAGTCAATCAACCCTCTTAGGTCCTCAAAATTAGCAGGAGTGAGATATTTGGAGCTTGGAGGAGTTTATAAATTCCACCACTTTCCTCTCCCTTCCCAAGTCCCTATCTCTCCCAACCAAACAGACATCACCTCACTTTCATCCCATACCCTCCACAAGCCTCCAACCAAAAAACTCTTAGTTATAGTGATTTCAATTGCACGATAGTATACTGTTAAAGAAGTCTTTGGTTTTGGTTTAATGCTTTAATTAATCTAATTTAGCATTACAATATTATTTTCGTTTATTAGGTATGTTGCAGTGGAGGACTTTGAGAATGGTATTCAGAGTTATCAGAGGGCACTTGGGGTTGACAACAGACATTATAATGCCTGGTATGGTCTTGGGATGGTCTATCTCCGGCAAGAAAAGTTTGAATTTGCAGAACACCACTTCCGTATGGCGCTCCAAATCAATCCCCATTCTTCCGTTATCATGTCATATCTAGGGACTGCGTTACATGCATTGAAGGTTAGTGATTATCTGTTGATCTGAAAAATAGAAAACATAACTTTCTTGCTTTCACCATTGTATGAACATTATTGTTGCGTGTTTCCATTGATGGTCAGAGATATGTGGAAGCATTAGGAGTGATGGAGAAGGCTATTTTAGCTGATAAGAAAAATCCCCTCCCAATGTATCAAAAGGCAAACATACTTGTGAGTATGGAAAAGTTTGATGCGGCTTTGGAAGTGTTAGAGGAGCTTAAAGAACATGCTCCTCGTGAGAGCAGTGTGTACGCTTTGATGGGTAGGATCTACAAAAGGCAAAACATTCATGACAAAGCCATGCTTCATTTTGGCCTAGCATTGGATATGAGACCATCTGCAACCGATGTTGCCACCATTAAGGTCATTCTTTAGGACTTCTGCGCTCTTTCCATGAAATTATGTCCTACTATACACTGCTTTTCCAATGATTTACACATTCAACTTAAAAAAATTCAATTTTTTTAACTCAAACACCTCAAAATAAAGTTTTATAAAAAACCTATCTCCACAATCAATCAAAACACTGTTTGGAGATACTATGTTTCGAAACACGTTCTGATAACTTTTAAGTCACATGGCACGTTTTTATATTGCTAACCCAAAGAGCCTTTAAAATTTGTATTTTGTATCTTTTGTGTATGAATGGAAGAAGATATTTGTCAACTCTCTCTCCATCTCCGCCTTGCATACATAGTAAAACTAAGACTAAGTGTCAGGTTGAGCTGAGCTCATACATGTGCTTGTTTATCCTTTTTAATAGGCGGCCATTGAGAAGTTGCATGTGCCAGATGAGTTAGAAGAAGACGTGTTATGAAACTTCTGAATACAATTTTCAAGTGGAGAAGAAGATAGTCTGTCAGCTAATGCATAAACGGTTCAATCCGAAGGCCTGAGTTATGAAGTTGTACTAATGTAGTAAAGTTGTTTCTTATACAGGTTTATCTAGGCTTTCCAGCTCCCGCTCTCTCTTATTTATCTTTAATATTCTGTGTTCTTTAGGTCATCCCGCTGTCCGAATGCATTCCCCCATGTATGTATTGTATTTTCCTAATTTTGAATACAGATAGATGCTCAAGTCTCTGTATCACAAGACTAGACTAGACATAGTTAGTCATTCTTGCCTGTTCGCTGGGCAGCGCTGAAGGAAAATATAAGCAATAGGTCTTATTCGAATTGAATTCGTTTGTTTATTTATTCTTTAATGTTCTACTGTAATAGTATCTCCTTCATTCTTCTATTAGCCATTTATTCAAAGAACTTGGAATTTGTTAAATAGTCATATGCACAAATGCTCGTTTTAGAGCAGTTTGATGCTTTGAATCTTTGATCACCAGGTGGTTTGGACCTTTGGAGGAAGTGAATAAACGTCGTCTTCCACTCTTCCCCTTGAATTAGATGGAGAAAAACCAATAATTCAGCTATTATTTATCACGCAAGGAATTTAAATAAAATAGGTCAAAATACTGTTTGCCCTGGCTTCTTCCATATTTTAAAAGTTGGTATTTTTATTGAACAAAACCCTTACTTTTAAACGTGTCACACATGCCGAGAAAGAGATAGTTAAAAGTTTAAAACTATTACTAGTACTGAAATTCCAAATGATATCCAATGGAGAGTTTGTGTATTTAATGTGTTTATTCTATTTAGGGGTGGACTCGGGTCCAGGCCGGGTCTGGGTCGGGCCTAACCCGGGTGGGCTGACGGTTCAGGAGTGGTGGACCCTGGACCGGCCCGTGTAACCACCGGGTCCGGGCCCATTATCAAATTTTTTTCCCTCTTCCTAATTAATCCCCTCCCACCCCCAACCCCCCAAACCACCCCAAATGGCCCAAAATACCCAGCCCAACCCGAAAATTTAAAAAAAATTGAAAAAAAAAAAATTCAATTTTGGCCCGAACCGGGCTCGGACTCGGCTGGGTCGGGCCTTGTTTTGGGTGACCCGAGCCCGGATCGGAAAACCCACGGGATGGGCCCACTCGGACCGGTCACTGATCGGGCCACCGGGTCGGGCCAGGTCGGAACAGTACCGGTCCCGGGCCGGTTCTGGGTCGGGCTGGAACAGTACCGGTCCCGGGCCGGTTCTGGGTCAGGCCGGGCCGGAACAGTACCGGTCCAGGGCCGGTTCTGGGTTGGGCCACCCGGCCCGAGTCCATCCATAATTCTATTGTCAAATAAGACAATATTTGACAATAGGGGGTTAGGGGGGAAATGAGGGGATGTGATATAGTGCCTGGTAGGTAGGCAGTTCGGGCCACCCGGCCCCGGTCATGTTATGGTGCGGGCCTCGGGCCACCCAAATGAAGAACCGGCCCTGCCGGTCTGGGCCCGGTTCGGGCCTAACGTTTTTTTTTAAAAAATTAAAAACCAAAACAGCTCCTACTAGCCGTTGGGAAGGCTCCCAAACCGCCAAACGGCTCTATAGCTGTTGGGAGGGTTGGGGTTGGGTGGTGGGATGAGGGGGGGGGGGGGGGGGGTCCGGGGAGGGTTTGGGGGGTGGGAGGGGGTGGGGGGGGGGGGTGGGAGGGGGACATGACACAAAAACCTATAAATACTCCTATTTTCTAAACAATTTTCAACGCATCTTCTCCAACTCTTCATACTCTCTATTCTCTAATATTCTTAATCATATTCATCTTCTTCAATTCTCTCTAGTCTCTACATATATTTATACAATTATTATATATACATATATATATATATCTACATATATCTACTTATTATTTCTACTTATATATATCTACATATATATTTATACAATTATTATATCTACATATAATTTATAAATACATATATTATATCTACTTAATATAGATTATATAAGTATCTACTTCAATTTTCTCTAATATTCTTAATCATCTCCATCTTAGTTGTTAATTGTTAATTGTTTCATTCGAATTTACACATTGTATTTATTCGAATTTTACTAAATCATTTATATCCAATTTATTTGAATAAAAATATATAGTTAGTTTTATTTCATTTCAAAAATTAGTTAGATTTAAAATTAGTTATACACTCACAAGTTTACACATTCATACATTCTTTATTAATAATTGTAAATTAACTAGTAAATTGTTAGTTGTTAATTGTTTCATTCAAATTTACACATTGTATTTATTCGAATTTTACTAAATTATTTATATCCAATTTATTCGAATAAAAATAAATAGTTAGTTTTATTTCATTTCAAAAACTAGTTAGATTTAAATTTAGTTATACACTCGACACTCTCAATAATTTAGTTTTCACATTCATACATTCTTTATTAATATTAGTAAATTAACTAGAAAATTGTTAGTTGTTAATTGTTAGTTGTTAATTGTTAATTGTTTCATTCGAATTTACACATTCAATTTATTCGAATTTATACATTTTTAAGATGGACGTGTTAGAGCTTCTGTAGATTTGGGTAACCTCAACCGGAGCCGAACCAAGGAGATTTCGAGGAATCATCCTAGTTCACGCAAAGGTAAAGGTAAAGTTCAGGCCGGGTCTTCTTCTCAAATAACGAGGTTTGGAACTGGCCAACCCTTTGGTAATTTCTCGTATGATGATCAAAGACATTTGACTAGTATGTCTCACTTAATTATTGAAGAAAATTTGTCTTTTATTTTTTCTGAAAGTCTTGCTTTAAAAGAATATGCTCAAGGTACTTTAAATCCTCAATTTCGAAACTACAGTCGCAAAACAATTAAAAAAGAAGTTATAAGGCAATATGTTTTGGAAAAGGAAAAATTACAAATATTTTTCGCAAACTTTGATGGACGTGTTAGTATTTGTAATGATATATGGGAGGATACTCATCATCATTTGTATTATTTGGGTTTGACTGCAAATTATATTGATGATGATTGAGAAATGCATAAACGTGTTCTTGCTTTCTGTGAATTTAATGATCGACACACCGCTGATAATATTTATATTCTGCTTGAGCGTATTTTGATCGAGTACAATTTGATTGATAAGGTGTTTGCTATGGGTTTTGATAATGCTAGTAATAATACTATTGCTATACCTAGATTGCGTGAATTGTGTGGTTCTTCTACTTTGATGGGTATGTTTTTTCATTAGCGTTGTGCATGTCATATTTTAAATTTATGTGTAAAAGATGGGTTAGCCGCGTTGGGAGATGCTATGGAGGTAGTGAGGGGGGGGGGGGGGGGGGGGGAGGGGGGGGGGGGATTAGACTTATTTGGGCTTATAATCCATTAAAAAAGCAATGACGTCAATATTTGAGGGATAGACGTGTCAAATATTGTGTTTTTCCTAAAGATTTATCTATTCGTTGGAATAGTATTTACAACTTAATTGCTGTACTTATTAGATTTAAAAACCATTTTCTTGCTTTTTTAAAAGAATATGCTAATTATATTATAAACCCGGCCGACATCGACACTATGGAAAAAACTGTGAATGTTTTGGTGTTTTTTAATAAAGCAACTCAAAGTTTTAGTTATGTTTATACACCTAGCTACCGCAAACCAATTTTTTGTAGAAGCTGTTAATCTGGCCGACACTTTTTGTGACTTTTCCGAAGCCCCTTAAGTTAATTATTTTTGTTCTTACATGAAAAAAACCGGTTAGACCCGCTACCCGGCCCGACCTATACCCGACCTGCCACCCCGGCCCGAACCGGACCCGGTAAGTACTCGGGCCGATTCCGGGCCTCAATTCCCGAAAAATGGCCCGGTCGGGCCCGGCCTGGACTGACCCAAGTCCATGCCTAATGGGATATGGGGGTAGGGGTACAAGCACTAGCTCGGGGGTAGGGGTAGGTGGGGATAGGGTAGGGGTAGGTGGGGGTAGGTGGAAGGAGGTTATGGGGTATGGGGAAGGGTGGGGGCGGGTAGGGTTGGTGTTAGGGTTGTGGTGGGGTCTGGGTTGGGTAGGGTAAGGTAGAAGTAGGGGTAAAGTAGAGTTAGGGTCGGGGGTATGGTAGGGGTAACAATACGGGGTAAGGGCAAGGGGTAAGATCGTAAGAGTAAGGGTAAATTCAGAAATTGAAAAAAGTTTAAACTTCCGCTTAAATAATACATGGGAGAGTGATATATTTAGTAAACTTTAAGCATCTGTTTGAGTTGGTAAACATTTTTTTAAGCAGCTCGTGTGTTAATTTCATTTGTCTTACCATCTAATTGTGACTTTAGCAACAAAGTAAGCACGTTTTAAGTGATTTTCAAGAGTCTATTTTATTTATTGTGAACAAAAACCGACATCACATTTCAACACTGTTTTAGTGTTTTGAACTTTTGATGGGTAGTTTCAAAATCTTTCTCGAGATTATGTGTCACGCTCCGGACCTACCCGGACACGTCAACAACCCGTCGTATAATACAAATAGTCAAACGCAGTTCAACACATCCATACTATACAAGGCGTCTTGAATACCATTCACAAATAGTACATCCATAAACAAACATAATGTAAAATATTTATTAAAGCAGCGGAAACATTAATACAAGTTGTCAGGTTTTCACCTCTCCAGCTCAGACCACGCTCATACAGCACACACACCAAAGCACCACCGGAAGGGACAAGAACACTCAGACCAGCCCAACCATCTCAACGCACGCCAAAGGTCAGAAAAGGGGAGGCACAGAGAGAATACCACAGAGGGACCGGAATAGAGAAGAGACGGAAGTCTCTCTCTCTCAATCTCTCTTAACCTCACTCTCTCTCTAACCGAAGACCTCAGCCTCAACCAAAAGGCGTAGAGGAGTTTAAGTACCCGGGCACATAGGGGAAGCCCTAAAAGAGGGTTCCAGAAGAAGGGTTAGCGGCAGAACAACATGGGCCAGGGCAGAGGTAAGAAACAGGCCCAATACAAGAGGAGAGGGCTGCCTTGGCCCGTGGGGCCAATACCTCCACACTCTCCACCTTATTGGCCATCATTGGTGGTGCATGGTATCACAAAGTAACATGAGCACGTGGTTCATCATCGCTGGGTCACCAGTGATATCCTAAAGACATAACTGGCAAACAAATTGGAGATACACAAAATACTCCCAAAAGGAAATTGTAGAAGTACCCAAAGTACTCTCCCTAACCGTGAGAGTAGATTCTCTCAAGCACTACGCTTTCAAGAATCTACCCTCCAACATACCCAAAACCTGCAAACAGAGTTAACCGCAGTCCAAATTTAAAATTCGTTTACAAGACAAAAGTTTTTCAGCAGATAGACACTTCGTCCCCATATCTGCAGGGTTGAACTCTGAGGGTATCTTGCACAGCTTCACTTTACCTGCATCTAAAACATCACGAATAAAATGGAACCTCACATCAATGTGTTTGGTCCTGTCATGAAAAACAGGGTTTT